TGGCTGGTTTGGCTCAGTGGATAGAGTGTCGGCCTGTGGACTGAAAGGTCCCAGGTTCCATTCCTGGTCAGGTCACATGCCTGGGTTGTGGGCTCCATCCTCAGTAGGGAGCCTGCAGGAGGCAGCTGACAGATGTTCTTTCTCATCTATGTTTCTATCTCTCTATCCTTCTCCTTTCCTCCTTCTTTAAAATAAATAAAAACATATATATATGAATGTCTTAAAAATAAATAAATAAATAAATAAATTTTAAAAAAGTATTTGTTGTTTCTCTGACCTTAAATTTAACTGAGTGTCCTGTATTTTATCTGGAAATTCTGTCCCCTCCCTCTCTCCTTTCTCCTGCTCCCTTTCTCTCCTTTCCAACCCCCTTCTCTTCCCTTTTTATCTGCTCTGCACGTGCAGAGCCTGGCCAGCAAGGTGCTCAGCGAATGTTTGTGAAAACCGATGAGACAGAGCTCAGCAAGAGAACGTGGCTCCCACAATAACAATGAGACAAAGCCAGACACCCTAAAAAAATTATCACTTTTTATGAGCCCCTCAGGGAGGGGAGGCCGCTGCTGCTTGTCATACAGGGAGAAGCATTCCTTGTACTCTGCACAGCCAGAAGGGGGAGTCAGGAGCACTCCTTCACCGCCCCTCCCCCCCACACACCCTCTTTTCCCTCCTCCCCTTGCTTTTCCCTCCCCCTCCTTGTACCCACTCCCTCTGTCTCCCTTCCCATCACAAGTAAAAATACAGGACTGCCAAGTTCAGTTGAACTTCCAATGAATAATGAACACATTTTTAGTATAAGTACGTACCAAATTTTTGCACGGGATACACTTATACTAAAAAAGTATATGTTGCCTGGCTGGTGTGGTTCAGTGGTTGAGCATCAACCCATAAACCAAGAGGTCACTGGTTCCATTCCTGGTCAGGGCACATGCCTGGGTTGTGGGCTCCATCCTCAGTAGGGAGCCTGCAGGAGGCAGCTGACAGATGTTCTTTCTCATCTATGTTTCTATCTCTCTATCCTTCTCCTTTCCTCCTTCTTTAAAATAAATAAAAACATATATATATGAATGTCTTAAAAATAAATAAATAAATAAATAAATTTTAAAAAAGTATTTGTTGTTTCTCTGACCTTAAATTTAACTGAGTGTCCTGTATTTTATCTGGCAATTCTGTCCCCTCCCTCTCTCCTTTCTCCTGCTCCCTTTCTCTCCTTTCCAACGCCCTTTCTCTTCCCTTCCTTCCCCTTCCTCTGCTCCCCCTTTCCTCCCTCCCACAACTGACCCAAACCACTGGGAAGCTGTCCCGCCCTCTAGGGCCAGTCCAGGGAAACAAGGAGCCCACAGCAGGGCATCCAGACACCCCGGGGACCTTTGCAAAGACAACTCATGTGGAAAAGCGGAACAACAATGCCCCTGGGTTACTGAGCCGACCAGAACGCCCCCCTGGGAAGTCCTGGCCCACAGTGGCTCTCACGTGGGGTGACAATTATTACAATTATGGGCACTTCTGAGTCCACTGCTCCACATCCCGCCTCCAGGCTCAACCCTCAAGCTGCCCTCTGACCCCAGCCCTGGCCCTGCTCTGAGAGACTTGGCGGGAGGGGCCCAGGATGTTTTCTCAGCTCTGACTAAACCCACTGGCAGCTCTCTTCCAACCCTTCCTCCCTTAACGGAGACAAAATGGACTCAGGAGCTAAGGCCTCTGTTGCCCAGTCTCACAGCCCAGCGAAGCAGGGCCCCTACCTGCCTCTGTCCCCAACTCCCAGCTCTGGAGGGACACCCCTGGGCCCTCCCACAGAGATTCTGACTCCAGAACTGGGGGTGAGACTGCCATCGGTGGAACCTCTGCCTGGGGGGTGGGGGTGGGGACTCTGACTTGACAAGTGAGGTGCATGCCAGTGATGCAACTCATCCCAATGAATGTGCTATTATTCAATCTGATGGGAGATCTACTATCAAACTAGTTCTTACCCTGTACAAATTACACTCATTAACCCTTTGAGTGCCAACCAATATCATAGGGACTATGCTAAAATTGCCAAGGCATTTTTGCTGATTTTAGGAAAAAAATTATGAGTCGCAAGCAAATGAAGTTACATATTCAAAAACTTAAGGAAACCTTTATTATATTGACATATTTAGCAATATCATCATCACTAATAAAAGCAGACTTAGAACTGGACGCCATTTCGAAGCTTTGATAGCTCTCCCGGCACTTTTGGCGAAAGACAGGAGGAGTGCAATCGAGCTCCCGGGCACTCTAGGGGTTAAACTCAAACCTCTTTCAAATCTTCAGCACTACTGATTGCAATGGAGTCATCTTTTAAGGTTTTTTTTTCTCCATAAATGCAGGGGTTGGAACATTATTTGATCTTACATTATTTAATAACTAGAGGCCCGGTGCATGAATTCGTGCATGGGTAGGGTCCCTAGGCCTGGCTGGTGATCAAGGCCTATGGTGGTGGGAGCTGGCCACGGGGAGGGACCCCAGGAGGTTGGCCTACTGGCTCCCCCCCACCCCCCACCCCTGATCGGGGCCTGGGGGAGGGGCCATGGGAGGTTGGCTGTAGGAACACACTGACCACCAGGGGGCAGCTCCTGTCTTGAGCGTCTGCCCCCTGGTGGTCAGTGCATATCATAGTGACTGGTCAACTGGTTGTTCTGGTCATTTGGTCATTCAGTCTTAATGGTTGCTTAGGCTTTTATATACATACTAGAGGCCCGATGCACGAAATTTGTACAAGAGTAGGCCTTCCTTCCCCCTGCTGCTGGCACCAGCTTCCCTCTGGCACCTGGGACCTGGGCTTCCCTCACAGCCCCAGCTTCATCTGGAAGGACCTCTGGTCTGATTAGCATATTATGCTTTTATTATTATAGATAGATGGCTGATTTTAACAACAAGTTCACAAAATTTCTAAAGCTCATGCTGGCTAGAGCAAGCTGGCCCCAGCACAGGTCTGGGTGCTACCCAGGCTGCACCAGGCCCTGTGTCAGGTGCATGACTGACATTATCCTCTCTGTCGTTCACAGCAGCCTGGTGTGGCGTCATTATCCCCACTTCACAGATGAGAAAACTGAGGCTCAGAGGTGGTAGGAGCCCAGGCCTCCAAGGTTCCTGTTCTTCCCACTGCAGCAGGCTACCTCTGTCCAGTCTGTCATTCACTCATTAAACATCAGTGGCCACTTTCTTGGTGTCAGACACTGGGATACAAAGGGAAGTTTGCCTTTCTTTCTGGAACTTCAGAGGCCCCTGAGGGAGGGTCAGTGAGCCTCAGAACCACAGGTGGGTGGGGGACGTAGGCTGAGCGAGACTCCACTCAGTCTTGCCTTGAGACCTGGGCATGAGAGGCCCTGCCCTGGGCCTTGTGTTTTAGAACTCCTTGATCTGGCCTCCTCTTGGGGTGAGACTGTGAGGAGGTCTATGGGGAGGTGCCCACCTGGAGCCTGCAACCCATTTACCCACCCACTCGTCCTCCAGACCAGTGATGGCGAACCTATGACACACGTGTCAGAGGTGACACGCAATCTTATTTTTTTGGTTGATTTTTCTTTGTTAAATGGCATTTAAATATATAAAATAAATATCAAAAATATAAGTGTTTTACTATGGTTGCAAAGATCAAAAAATTTCTATATGTGACACAGCACCAGAGTTAAGTTAGGGTTTTTCAAAATGCTGACACGCCGAGCTCAAAAGGTTCGCCATCACTGCTCTAGACCAAGCTCTGAGCACTCAGAACTCTGGAATCCCTACCCAGCTAACCCTGAGCCCACCCAGGGCCCGCAGACCCAGCCTGAGCTATGCGGGGCCTCCCTGAGCTGGGTCTGGGCCCTGAGCTCTGTGTAACCCAGCTCTCCCCTTGGCCTTGTGGAAACGGAAGCCTGCTTGCGGACTCAGGGGATGCAGTGCTCCACACCCCAAAACCCGGCTTGATGTCAGGTGGAGGGACCTCAGAGACCACTAGGCCGACCTCCCACCTGACAGGTGGGGAGACTGAGGCCCAGAGCAGGGTGCTGGGTGGGAGAGCAGACTTGGGCTCTTTGCTCGGCCTGGGCCAAGTACAAAGCCCTCCTCTCGTTGGGCTCTCGGCCCCAGCCAGTTAGTTGTGTTTCTCTCTCCGGCCCCTCTCCCTCCCTCCCCGCTTGTAACGCACACGGACAGACATAGCACCAACCTTTCCACCTGTGAGCCTACCCCGCCTCCACCCAGCAGGGCCTCCCGGCAGCGGAGGCCTCTTGCCTGTGGGTGGGCCCACATCCCCCTGGCACCTTTTTCCCACCAACACAAACTGAGCAGAGCAAATTGCTTAATGAGACCCATATTTCGCTGTGAGTTGCTAATTAAAGAGCAAACCCAACCTACCATTAATTTGGTCCTGGGAAAGAAACTTGGCCTGCAGCAGACAGAGGAGACAGTCAGGAGGGGCTCCGTGAACTCCCCCCCATCTCCCTCTACCCGCCCCCCAAGCCCGGCAGGTGACACAGAGCCTCGCTTACCATCTCGGGGCCTCCAGTGCACCCCTGAGCTCCCTGCTCCCAGGGCTGCTTTCTTGGTTTCCTTCCTCCCAGCTTCAAGTCCTAAGTCCGCCAAGCGGGGTGGAGGCCCCTGTAATAAATCCGCGGCTGCCATGGAGACCAGGCCCAGCGCCCGGGGTCGGATTCCGCTTCCCCGCCCAGCTGGTGCCCAGCCAGGCCTGGGCAGAGCAGCAGGTTGGGTTTGGAGAAAACAGGGCTGCGGAAGGGCTCCCAGGGCTCGGTCCTGCCCGGGAAGCTGAAGCTCTGGACAAACGTTCCTTCCTGGGAGCCCTCCCTGGGCACGGAGAAGGGGTCAGTGACACACACAGTGTGGGGCCGGGATGGGGTGTCCTGGGCCGGTCTGGGTGGGGGTGTCTTTTCTTTCTCTCCTGGGACTAAGCAGGGAGCTGGCAGGTGCGGGTGGTTAGCGCACTGTCTTATCTAAGGGTCATCACAAGCCAGCTTGCCGGCGGGGAGGAGACCCTACCTCGATGGCACGGCCCGGCGATGGCCGCTGCCACTGTCCCAGCGTGGGGCAGGGACACAGGCTTCGGTGCCTCAGGTTGGATTCGGTTCCTTCCCGCGTGCCCGTTGCTGCGTGGGCTCGGCCTGTCACTGCTCTGCTCTGTGCCTGGTTCCTGGATGGGCCTCACGTAGGCCTGTGTAGTCCAATGGCGAGGCGGAGCCCCTTCTCCTCGTGCCGGTTCCCCAGCTGGGGCGTTGGGGCCCCGCGGTGGGCTTCCCGGGGCTCAGAGGGAGGCCTGTTAGGTGACTTCCCCGCCAGGAAACTCCTCCTTTTCTTCCTTTCCCTTCTCTCCCCTCCGCAGCCCCCACTCCTTCCGGCAGAAGCTGCTGACTCCCCATTTCCTCAGTGGTTTGTGCTGCCCGCCCCCCCTGTACACACACAACACACACACACACTCACACACACACGCACACACGCACTGAGGAAGTGAGGGCAGGGTGGGGCGGTCCTGCCCGCCCCCCCTGTACACACACAACACACACACACACTCACACACACACGCACACACGCACTGAGGAAGTGAGGGCAGGGTGGGGCGGTCCTGCCCGCCCCCCCTGTACACACACAACACACACACACACTCACACACACACGCACACACGCACTGAGGAAGTGAGGGCAGGGTGGGGCGGTCCTGCCCGCCCCCCCTGTACACACACAACACACACACACACTCACACACACACGCACACACGCACTGAGGAAGTGAGGGCAGGGTGGGGCGGTCCTGCCCGCCCCCCCTGTACACACACAACACACACACACACTCACACACACACGCACACACGCACTGAGGAAGTGAGGGCAGGGTGGGGCGGTCCTGCCCGCCCCCCCTGTACACACACAACACACACACACACTCACACACACACGCACACACGCACTGAGGAAGTGAGGGCAGTGCGGGGCGGTCCTGCCTGCCCCCGCTGTACACACACACACACACACACACCCACACACACACTGAGGAAGTGAGGGCAGTGTGGGGCGGTCCTGCCTG